AATATTATTTTTATTTCTTTTATCATACTATAAGATAGTAATACTTTCTAGATATTTTTTAATAAGTTATATTTTTCTTATAGCTATAATTTTATTAGTTTGAATAATAATATTAAAGTCTTTGAGCTATTTGGTTAAATTCTGATTATTTCTTTTATATTTTCTAATAGAAATAATAATCTTCTTTGAGTTTTTGATTTTAAAATAATATTTATCAATATTACTAGTATTAAAAGAGATTCTTGATTGTAATTATAAAGTAGAATCTTGATAAATAAACTATCAATAAAATTATTCAATCAAGTTAAGTTATTTTTCTAAGATATTTATATAGTCAAATATAAAAGTATTTACTAATTATACTATTCTTTGTCTAAATTTGATAATATATATTTTACTAAAATCAAGTTAAATTAATTTATTAAATAATAAATATGTAATTTGATTTATAAATATTACTTTAATATTCTTAATAAGCAAGTGAAAAGTCTAAAATTATAAAGAAAATTCAGATTGAAGAGAATGATAATAGAAGTAAAGATATTAAATAGATATTCTAATAGTAAAATTAGAGTCTTAATATATTTCTAAATAATAATTAATAAATAATTCAATAAAAAAATAATAAGCAATTATGAAAACTCAAGATATAATTATTTATTAATTACTTGAATAATTAAAGAAAAAATATAAAAAAATATAAAAGAGATTTCAAATATAAAAAAATAAAATAAAAAGTCTGTAAGGATCTTTTTTTATATAATTAAAGAAAGTTATAAAAAATTAATAAATAATTAATAAATAAATAAATTAATAAATTAAAAAATAATAAGATAATAATAATTAATATTATAAATTAATAATATTTATTATAATATATATTTTTTATATTATGATTTCAAATCATATTCTAAATTATATTATAAATATACTTTTGCTATCTATCTTTAATTTTATTATAATTATAGTTTAATATCTATTATATTATATTTTTAATTATATTAGTCTTTTCTATTTATAATTAATAATATCTTTATTATATCTTATTATAATCAAATATTATATATTATAAAATAATTTTTTCAAAAAGTATTAAAAATATAATAATATTTTTAATAATTTATATCTTTAAAGATGTAAAATTTCAAGTTTTTATTTTATATAATTTTATTTTTATATATTTAAAAAATATTAGAAGATAGAAACTTAAAATTCTGAGTTTATTTTTATAAAAATTAATATTTTATATTATAAATTTATTTAATATAAAAATTATCTTATAAAATTAATAACATTAAAATTTTTTAAATTAAAAATAATATAAATACAAAGTATATAATAATATTAAAAAATATTATAAAACTTTATAATATTAATAATACTTAAAAAAATATAATTTTTTCTAATTAGCTAAATATAAAATATTCAAATAAACTTATAATATTCTAATTAATTAAAAATTTTAATATAAAAAACTAGATCTTTTATTATTTTTATTTTTTATATTTTACAAAATAAATATAGATAAAATAAAAAAACTTAATATTTTAATATTAGTAAATTTAAAAAAAATACTTTGCTTTAGCTATAAAATAAAAAAAATAATTAAATTATAAGAAGAATATAAAATTAATTTTATATAAATCTAATAAATAACTTATTTAAATACATTTTTTATCTTTAATTTTTAAATTATAGATTAATTAATATATAATTTATCTCAATATATTTTTTTAACATATATTTAATTTTTTTTTAGTTTTATTAATTATATTTAGAGGAGTTTTTTTATTTTTTTTTAGCTTTATTATAAATTTATTTTATTTTAAATCTTTTTATAGTTTGATGTAAAGATTTATATCTTAGATAAATATTAATAAATTATTTTTTCAAATAAAATTTTAATTCTGTCTTATTTAATTAAGCTATTAGATATTGAGATTTATTTAAATATAAAATTTTTATTATATATCTTTTTTAAAAAAAATTTTACTAATAATAATTTTTTTGAATTATTATTTCTTAAATTTAATATATAAAATTTGATTAAAATTAATATAAATTTATATAGTAAATAATTTAATTATTAACTTTGAATTTTAATATTTTTATAATTACTAATTCAATTTTTATGAAATTTAGAACATATATTTATCAAATTCAAGACAATCTACTTGCATAATTTAAGGTTCTAATATTATAAATTGATAGTGATAATATTTAAGGGGACGCGTTGGATAAGTGTCAGGCAGTTCAAAACTTCGGGAATATGTCTCACCCACGCTCTTAACAGCCGATCTATTTGTTCGACGGCGTATAAGATTTTTGAGAAAACGTTCCACAAGCGCAAGCCCTCAATCGAAGTATGGACCAATTACTCAAATTATCACATTGTGTTCCTTCATTAAACGAGATACCTGTCCATAAATTCTTTGCCTTTATCACAATGTAGACGCTCGGTCGGGTTAATGGACAATTTTGATTACCAAATGCATCAGCAACTCTGAAATATTCTTAAAGCGCGATGAGACATCTATAAAGCAAGTATTCATTTGTTTTCCATCAATATATCATTTGTAAGACGTAGCAAAACACACAAGTGTATGCAGTTCAGATGTGATATCTTTTGGAATGAGGCTCTAGAAATATGCTTTGGTGGAGTTTTGTGAATTTGGTACTGCGGTTGACACTCAAACCAATCGCGGACCTCTTTCAACCGAAATCGATGTCCTTCTTTTTTACATGTATTTCTCAATTTCTTTGCATTAGAGAAATATCCGATTGGGCTATAATATAACAAGCGACAAATTAAGGCTTAACTCATCTTACTATAAATGACAAAATCATAGCTTTTAACTTCAAATGATTTTAAAAAACATTGACAAAATGCCACCGAAGTTATCATTAGATGATGCAAAAAAGATTGCAATCGAACGGAATGAAGAGTGTCTTTCAGAAGACTATATTAATTATTATTGTCAAAATCAGCATCAAAGGATGCAAACATTAATGAGCATTAGAAATAAATGAGGCTGGTGCTCATATTGCCATTCTTGTAGTCTTGAATTTGCTAAGCAAATTGCACATGCAAAAAATGAGGAGTATTATTCAACTGAATATAAGAATACATTCACGCCACTTTATTGGAAATGCAAAGCATATTGTAATTAGAGGTCGTGGTGCCCTTTCTGTTGTAGGCATAATTACCTCAACAGTGTTTTAAAAGGTTATTGGTGTCCGTATTGTGCTGATGATGCTAAACGAATTGCGCTTACTTTGAATGGAGAATGTCTTTCGACGGAATATATTAACAGCGATTCGTATCTAGCGTGGCGCTGTAGTAATAATCATATATTCAGTGCTACGCTTACTATTATTAAAAATAATTGTAGCTGGTGTCCATTTTGCTCAAAATTTAAACGCAAGGATTTATGCCAAGAGATTGTTTCAAAATATCGGGATAGCACAATCAAGCAACAAGAACGAGAGCAGCTCAAAGAAAGACTTAGGTAAGAGAACGATATATCTATTTTATATCTATTTTATATCGTATAATTACGAAAACCTTGAGAAGACTATTCGAGACGAACTATGAGCAGTGGGACTTATCGATTAGTCAATCATGAGAACCGCACAATTAGCGTATTAATATTCAATAGCTTAGCTTGCATTACTATAATTTTTTCGACCCAATAAATTCGTTACATCTTCGGGATATGGAAAAAAATTCAAGAAATAATACATGCTTTTTTTGGCTTATATTATTTTCGTTATTTTTTTGTTATTAAATATCGTTTTTTATCTTTTTGACTTATGTTATTTCCAATATTTTTTAGTTTGATTGTTATTTGAGAAGTTGTTAAAAACGAAATACGTACACAGTGACTCTCGATATAATGGATGGGTTCGAGCACTTAGAAAAAATTTCAAACTTCCGTTTTATCATGAGTTTATTAGTAAATCCGTTATTAGTCTCCGCTATATCGAAAGTCCCTTATATCGAGCGTCATCGTGTATACATCCATAGGACGCGTTCTTTTCATGTATTAAATATAGACTAGTTACGTTGAATTTTCTTACAGGATATTTAGCCAGAATAATATATTCATAATTCTTGGGTACTTTATTTGCGGTACTTGCCGCAATGAAACAGTCTTACACACCGCATCCATTGATCTTCCTATTGTCGATCGAGGGTTTGTTGTGATTATTGATTCCGACTTTACCGAATGTAATGATGTCAGATAAAAATCTTAAGTAGATATAAAACCTACGATAAACAGTTGCCTCTTTGAAAAGGCCATTGTGTGTCGAAAGTTTACAGGTCTGATTTTATCAGTTTCAGGTTTGCTTTTACTGCTTTCGCCTAAATTCGTTCCTTATCTAATGATGAAGAATATAACGATTAGGTTGTTTTCCTTTCTGATTCGCTTGAATTCGGTTGATTAATTCTGGATTGCTTAAGTTATCATCAACTAGAGGTTTAAACATTATTTAAGATTGTCATTATCTTCGTACTTGTCGAATTCTTTTTTTTATCAGAAAAAATTGTTGATAATTATTTCCTTTATTTTTTTGAGCACTTTAAGAAGATATATCCTTTATAGACAGACAAACTCAAAATTATAAAGTGCACATTATTTATGAAAATTTTAGGAATGAAATAAAAATAATAATAAGTTTATAGTAGGGACAGACATATTACGTAAAATCAGCGACTATAAAGCTGATCTCCCACATAAAGATTTTTATTATACAGTGTTGATTGGCTAATTATTTTTGGTCATGTGGAAGACGAGTCCAAATACATGTAATTACGTTATATCTGTCTGCTACTATTTGTGTTTCGGTATTAATTAAGGTCATGTTACTATACAATATGCAAAATGCATGTTATTTATGAAATTTTTAGGAATGAAAAGAAAATAATAGATTACATTATTAATTAAGTTTACGTTGTAAATATGCAACCGCAAAATGAATTAATACACTGAATGGTATCAAGCTTTTGATGATGAGGATGAGGAATCATCCTTATCGTCCAAAAAATGAGTATGATGGTATTATCATTGTTGAGTAAACGGCAATTTTTGAAGATGAATGTTGATACCGATGGTTTATTAGCATCTGTTACGTTTGATTCCAAGACAGATTTAAGCGCCAGTTTCTTTGCGTGGTCGATCAATAATTTGTGCATTCTTATTGGATGAATCATAAATTAATAAACTGTGTGTTCATTTTGTTTATTTTAAATAAATAACATGAGGTTGTGTATATTACAGTCACGCTTCTTTAAGCGCAACCCTCTTGGAACTATAGAGAAAAAATATATAGAGTTCTTTTAAACTGGAACCATGTATTTAGAGAGAATTTATATAGTTTATGCGAAGAAAAATCAAAGATCTACATAAATTTAGATCAAAAAAGAAAAACAAAAAATATCAATATATGGGGATTATATTATTGACGGGAAATTACTCGACTTAGATTATTTTAATCTCTTTTTTTATATTGTAAAATATATTTAAAGAATGAGTTATCTAATAAAAAGACTTTGAAAAATTATTATCACTGATTTATTATCTGAAATTATTTATATAATGAATTTAATTAATTAAATTATTATCTGGGATTAGTTATTTATCTTTAATCTTTTTTTAGATATTTATGAATATAATATTATTTAAAAAAATAAATTGAAAAATGATAAAATATCAAACATAAAGAAATTGAAAATATTTTTTTCCATCAAAATAAAGGTATAATTTGAGTAATTTGAAATTATAATTCTTGATTATATAAATATTTTAAAATCCTTCAGTTTTTATAGTTTATTAATTTTCTTTTTAGATTAAAATTTATATAAAATTATAAATAAAGAATGAAACCATTATAAATTTAGAATTTAATAATTGAAAAAATAATATTTCTTATAGTGACGACCAAAAGTAATGCATCAGGAGCTAAATTTATTAATAAAACATAGCAAAAATTGAAATTTTCTCTCTATATTAAAATTTATAATTTTATTAAGAAATAATTTTATTTTTATATTAAATAAAGTTTATAAGTTATAGTTTAACATATATTTTTTTCAAATTTTTTAGCTTTTTTCTGAAAGAGTTATTTCTAATTATAAAGTTAATGCAAAAAATTTTACTAGTTAAAAATGAAATTTAATTAAAAATTTTTGTACTTACTTTACAATTAGAATAACTCTTTCAGAAAAAATCTAAAAAATCTGAAATTAAACTAAAACTAATAAACTTTATTTTGATATAAAAATAAAAATTATTTCTTAATAAAATTATAAATTTTAATATAAAGAGAAAATTTCAATTTTCACTATATTTTATTAATAAATTTAACTTCTGATGCATTACTTTTGTCTATTACTTATATGAATTATTATATTATAATATATTTGAATATTATTAATAATAAATATAAATATAATAATAACTGTCAAAAATTCTTCAAAAGATTCTAATCTGAATTTTAATTATTTGAATATAATTATACATTATTTTATAGAATATCTAAATCTAAATCAATTCTAATATAAATAAATACTTATATATCTCAAAAAATACTATATATATTAATAAATATATAAAAAGAAAAATATTAATAATAATATTATTTATATATATAATAATAAATATTATAATTTATACTATAAAAATTTTGATTAGATTATTTTCTTTTAGTTTAGATTTTTATTTTATGCACTTAGTAATATATTTTTAGTTTTGTATTATTTATTTAAAAATTAATTTATTCTAAATATATAAATAATTATTATATATTTAATTATATTAGATCTCTCTATAGCTATATCTCTTTATAGTTATTTTTTTATAGTTATATTTTTTAAATTTCTTTATTAATTAGCTATAATTAAAAAAATTTCTTTATAGTTATATTTCTTTTTAATCATTTAATTTTAATTTTTCAAGTATAATAACTATAAAAAGATTTAATTATAATTTAGATTTATACATATTATTATACAGATAATTACTATATATTTTTTAATTATTAATTTAGATAATTAATATTTTTAATTAGTTTCTTTAATTTATTTCTTTATATTTTTATTTATTTTTCTTATATTATTAGTTATATTATTATTAATTATTTATATATTATTAAATTAAGTATAATTAATCTTCTAAAAATATAATATGAAATTATTAATTTATTTAATTAAGTAAAATCTATATATAAATTAGATTATTAATTTATTTATATTTTATATTTATTTATTTTATATAAATATATTACTTCTATTTGTAAATTAATTTTCAAATTCAAATATTTAAATAATAAAATTATAAGTATTTATAAATTAAAATTATTTACTTTATATTTTATCTTATTTATAATTATAAATAAATAATTTTATAATTTAATAATAATAGATATAATTATCTATTATATATACTTTATATTATATCTTAGTTTTAATTTACTTGAATTATAAAAAGATAAATTCTAAATAATTTATATAATTTATATAATTTATATAAAATATAACTAAACTTATTAATATAATAAAAGATAAAAGTTCTTTAACTTTAAATTTTTATCTTATTTTTTTTTAAATTATCTATCTATTTAAAGAGTTAATTAAAATATATTTATTTAAATTATATAAGTTAAAACTATTCTTTCAATTTAAAAAATCATAAAAGAGAAATATAAATATAATAGTATTTATTATCTTCTTAATTAATATAATTTTATATTAATATCTTAATAAATATAAAATAAATAATAATAATATATTATTATAATGAATTGGTAAGTGAATTTTTACTTGAATTCATCTTAATAAAATAGAGTTGGAAGAAATTGAAATAATTAAAGAGTAAAGAAAGTCTATAGATAGATCTGGATAGTGATTCAGATCCTGGAATGAGATCAATTTTATGATCAATTGCTCTCTTGGGTGGCAGTTAGTTTGGTAAGGTTTCTGGAAATACATCTTGGAATTTTCTTTTAATATCTAATGCTTCTGGTGAAAGTGATTTCTCTTTTGCTTCTTCTTTATTTTCAGTATTGTTAAGATATATGGTGAAAAGTTCTGTGTCTGCTGGTAGATTTGCAATTTGTTGTCTGGAAATATATATTGAATTGCAGCTAGAGTCTGACTTAACTTCATTATCAGCTTGCACTTTTATTATCTTGAAACCATAGGTAAAGGTGATGGTATTATTTCTCTAATCTATAGTTGGGTTGGCATGAAACAATCAAGGTTTATCTAGGATGAGATCATATCTCTGCAACTTCAAAACTTGTGTATCCATCTTGTGTATTCTATAAGTATCTAATTTCAATTCATCAATTTTTGCCATGATGGTGACTATTATCTTTTTGCTATCTGTGAGTTCTACAATTATTGGTATTGTCTTCTGTAATTTAACTTTGTTCTTCTGTACAAATTTTTCATCAACAAAGTTTCTAGATACACCACTATCTAGCAATACCCATGCTGGTTTACCATTTATCTGGCTATTAAATTTCAATAATCTTTCTCTCATAAGATTGTGAAGATTCTTCTTGTTTATCTTTAATATTTGCAATTTTGACCTTTGGTTTTGAATAACAATTTTTGGCGAAGTGGCCTGGTTTGTCACAGTTATAATAGGTGTCTTTGGACTTGTTATTCTTCTGATTATTATTATTTCTTTTGTTGTTATAGTGACTTTCAGCCTGATCAAGTTCCATTAATATAGGGCCATTGTTCTGATGACTTCTGTACTGATTCTGTAAGTGATGATTATTATTATTTCTACTTGGTAAGCCTAGAGATCTGCCTTGCCTATATATTACTATGTTATAGTAAATAGCTAATTTCCAAGCATTTTCTAAGGTTTCTGGTATTTGGTAACTTATCTCCATCTTTATAGCTGGTTTAAGACCTTTTATGAAATAGATAATCTGGTCTAAAGTGCTCATGTCTGTGATTTGTCCAACTATATTTCTAAATTTTGTGCTATAGTCTTGAACAGATCCTGTTTGGTGAAGGAGATAAAGTTGTCTACAGAGATGTTATTGATAGTGTGATGATTAAAAAACTTCTCTTAAAGCTATAACAAAGACTTGCCAATTTTCAAAAGATTCAACACTATCATCTACTTTTACTTTGTTGAGATATCAATGTAAAGCTGTATCAATCAGAAAAGTAGTAGCATATTATATTTGAGTTTTCTTATCAGTAATTCCTTGAGCCTGGAATATAGTTTTGACTTGCATTATCCAGATAAGTACATTTTCATTTGGTTTTCCTGAATAAGTAGGTAGTTTTACTGAAAGATGAGGTAAGGGCTTAGAACCAGAAGGACCATCTTCTTTAACTGATTTAATCAATTCAGTCATATTCTGCATAAATTGGGCAAATTGTTCTGTGTTCATTTTGATTAATATTATTTTTCAAAAACTAAAATATATGTATGTAAAGTATGTAGTATATGATATAATATGTAAGAAGTTAGAGGGTAATATTTATAATAATCATGTCTACTGCTATCAAGTTGTAAGATTATTTTGTTAATAGTTGTAAACAAGATAAAATACGATATAAATAAGTTTTAATTTTATAACTTATGATTGTTTTTATTATTTAAAAGTATTCAGATCTGAAGTTATTTTACA